CACCAGCCACTCTGCAACTGTGACACTGACATTGGCACCTATGATTTAGCAGTTGATAGGGAGGAAAACTGCAGTAGCATTGAAGAGCCAGGAACCAAGATCAGATGAGAAGGCGCTTAGTCCAATACTGCATCTCTGAGAAGCCTCTCCTTGTGGCTTTCAGCAGTTAGCCAGAGAAGGTCAGCTGCAGAACTATGACTGACACTCAGCCTTTTCCCAAAACTTCCTACTGCTTGGGGCTGATTTTGACCAGTGCAGAAACCTCCCCATGGAGTACTTCCTTATGTCCCAAGGTTCCAGGGAAGCCTAGCACTTTGACCTTGGGCTCAATTAGAAGCTGCAAATCTAGTCCTAAATGATGTTATCAACTTCATTTATTTATTTAATTGGCATTGCATTACTCTATAGGCATTGCTATTAGGTCTCATTGTACAGGGTGAAGGCCCCGCACGTGGTAAGAAATGCTCCACTCCCTGGCAGAACTGCACTCTAAGTTAGACAGGCCAGGGCGGGAGAAAGGAAATAACTAAGTAGTAACCCTATTAAAGAGATGGTGGACTGAGGCACTGAGCAATTACATGACTGTGCTGAGGTCATACAGGAAGCCCATGTCAGAACTGAGAAATAAAACTGGATCACCTGAGTATGAGCCTTGGGCCTTTACGGCAAGATTATCTGCCCTCTTCAGAATTCACTGGTACATCAGTCACACAACCTTTATCATGTGTCGTGGAACCAGTTCCTCATCGCTCCATGCAGCACATGTGTGCCCATAACACTGCAGTTTAGAGGTGTAATTAAAACCACAGTATAATTTTTCCTACACATTTTACTTACAAAAAGTGTGTGAGCAAAACAGAAAGACACAGCATCTCCTCTTATAGTTGTTCCACAGCTGGACCCACTGAAATACATATAAAACCTGATCAAAATTTAATCTAAAGCCTGCACAATTTTCAATCTCTTCAAGTATTTTAATGACCCAAGGGTGAGATTTTCAGAAAGGCTCCATTTATGGGAGTTTTATCTCTGACTTAAACAGGAATAAAGTTAGGCCAGCCCTCAGGCCATTTGAAAACCATGCTCGCTTACTGTACCTACTTCGCCTGTGAGTGTTTCAGGGCAGTGCTGCGTCTTCCTCTGCATCTCCTTTTATCTACTGTCACCACTCAACTTGATGTTGGGAACATGTGTGCCTATCACAGTATCTGATTGCATGGATCTGGCAGGGTCACAGTCACGTTGCAGCTAGAGAAGCTAGATAAGTGTAGGTGACATTTCTGGCTTCACCTCTCTTCTTACACAAATATCTTACTGCAGATAAGCTTACTTCAGGTTGGAGCTGCAGTCACATAGATGGTAGGAGACTTGGAACTTTTTGTCACTACATTGTTATAGAAATCTACCGTAAAGTTTAGTGTTGCTCAATAAACTGATGTTATATTGGAGTTATGTTAAACAACAGCTGCATTGTCTACATGGACCTCACACAAACAAGTATATGACAGGTTGTTTTGTAAGGCACCTGCAGCCTGGTCTCTGAGAAGTTCGTGTTCCCTGTGATAACCCTGTCTACCCCTCCCACTCACCCTGTGAGAAAGCGGCTCCCTCAATGTATTTTTTATTCTTCCCAGAGTTCCCTATTATGCCCTTTAAACACAGACTGGGCAAAGGGCAATAGGTTTTGCGGCTGATTCAGAGCAACTTATGTGCTGATTAGAAAGAAATGTCATCTATAAACCAGCCAGCTTCATACCCTGAGACTTTAACCTTTCTGCCCAATTTGGCTAAAACTGGCTAGCAGGTTCCACAGTTGTTACGGAAAGATTGGCAGAATGGCAGATACAGAGCAAGGGTCTAATTTGTGCCATGGAAACATGAAGGGGTTGCCAAAGATGGCTATGGAGTTCTGACTATACAATTTTCCTCAAAGTGATGAACAGCAACTTAAAGATCACTTGAAGTTGGACTTCAGCCTGTGAACTGGCTGACTGACCACCATAAAAGAAAGGAGGAGAAGGAAGAAAAGTGCAGTAGCAGAAGGAAACGGTGACATTACTCTTGTGGAGAAAACAACTCTTTCCTCAGGTGATCTTGACAATTTGGGGACTGAACTCCAGGACTGGAAGTGTCCAGCTCTGCATACACCTAAACTTGAGCATCCACTGCTGAAGAATTCTTGACCCATTTCTGCACCGTGTGCAGCACAGTGACTGCAGTCACCCACATTAAAAAAACAGGACCACCTTTCTGGAATAAACCGTGTTTACAGTGGTACCTTCAAAAAACCTGGTCAAACAAGGAGCTGTGAAGCTGAGCAGGAAAACTCAACCCTACAGCTTCAAAAATTGTCATTAAAGTGGCCTCATGTCTGCTGAAGCTGCGTTGCTTCACAGTCACACCTTGTAGGCTGAGAAAGATTCACCTTCTTGGGGAGACAAAACAGTGTTTCGCACACTTACTAACAGCCACAGATAGTAGAGCACAACTACGTTACCAGCTCTCTCAGCTTTACTCATGAGGCCTGCGGTTCTGGTGTTTTTCTGAAATCCCCCTTCTTAATGTCCCACTGAAGGTGCATCTCAGCTTCCATTTTATAGCCAAGTTCCTGATGTGCCATGGATGTGACCCAAGCGTACTTTGAGGGCCAGGAAGAAAGGTGGGGAGCAGGAGGAACCAAACACCAAAACACACCTAATTGTGTGTTTAAAAACCTTTTTTTTAAACCTGCTTTTTAAGCTGACATTGCTCAAAAGCTTGCTGCTTCATAATTTTTGAATACTCAGAGGTAC